TGTGTGTAAAGAAAAGTCACACACATTTATTCATATAGTACTTTAATAATAGATCTAAATTTACTGGCTTTCCCCCAAATTTATAAAAAATAAAAATAGAAATGAAATCAGCTTTCTTTATAGCTTAACTGACACTCAACCTCGAGAATGGGAATGATTCTTAGTAGATGAAACCTACCCTAATTTAAAAAAATTCAGCCTCTTTAATGCTGATCTAGTTTTTATGTTTCCATAGCTGTGTAGTACAGTAATGAGTGGGTTAAGGCATTCTATCTGGAATCTCTGTGTTGAACCTGTTGGACTTGAATGTAATCCTTCCCTAATCTTAGCATGTAAGAATGGGATTAATAGCCAGTGCCACACCCATGAGAAGTTCTGGAATGCCTCATCTTGTGTAGAGATAAAACATGTTCCTCCTTCCTTTAAGGTAAATGTAGGAATATTGTCAATGACCAATATCCTTTTACCAGTCATTCTCGAAAAAGAAGAATGATAGTTTGAAAATCTGAAGATACTCCTATTTTAGAACCTACAGTGTGGAAGGTTTGTATTAATAATGAGGTGAAAATACAATGGTGGATTTAAAAATACAAGATACTTTATTATGGCCATGCACTAAGTTATGCTGTATATTTCTCATGCAAGAATAACATTTCGAAGAAAACTAATAATGACACATATGTCTTTCTAATCTCCATCTTTGCTTTCTTGTTTTCTTTTTTCTCGAGGGAACCTGAGAAAAGATGTATCAGGTAGGAAGGAGTGCAGAAATTTTTAGAACAGATGGCAGGTAGTGAAGTTAGGATAACGTTGAAAATGAGGCCCCTCCCAGCACCGCAAGTGAGTAGTTGAGTTTTTAGCCATCTTTGTGGTATTTACTAGGTGGCCTTTCCTTTAAAAACTTTAAAAGTCTTATGAAGATAGGAGCTTTTTTAGGGGTTCTGGATTATTGTATAACTTTTCATTAATTTCTAGGTATCTGGTGACCCATCTCATGGGGGCAGATCTGAACAACATTGTGAAATGTCAGAAGCTTACAGATGACCATGTTCAGTTCCTTATCTACCAAATTCTCCGAGGTCTAAAGGTACAGACAATACCACTAATTTTGAGAAATGAATTCTCCCTTTCTCTCCCTCCCCCGCTTTTAAAAGGACTTAGAACAAACAAGCAAACAACTTACAGAAAATTCGAACACAAAATCACAAGTCAAGATCATAGTACAATAAACCATCGTGTTCACTTAGTGACCGCAGTTACCAGCATGTGGCCAGTCATGTTTTTTTGTATTTCCCAAGCCCTGAGTTATTTTAAAGCAAGTCTAGGCATCATGTCGTACTGCCCATGGATACTTTAGTATGCATATCTGAGAGATGAGGACTCTTCATTATTACATCTAAAAATTAATAATTTCTGATATAATCTGAAACCTGGTCAGTGTAATATTGAGATTTTTTAAAAAATCCTTAAAGGCTAATTTATTTGTGGGCGGGGCAGATAAACAGTGTTTTAAAATTAAACCATCTTTGATGTTTAGCAGCTTTGAGTCCTTACTGGGCTCCACAGTGCCGACAAGAAAACAGATTCAAGTCTCAAGTGAGGGGAGTCAGTGGCTGTGGAGATTATAGTTATGGTAAATGTACAGAATCTGACAGTTACTCGTTCCGATTTCTGTTCCCACTGTTAACACCAGCAGTTCTTATTGATTCATGACAATATGCAACAAACGTATAATATGACCGTGGGAGGTTGGAGACAACTTTCATTTAACTGGCTTTTTTCTTTTTCACAGTATATACATTCAGCTGACATAATTCACAGGGTATGTGTATCATGACTTTGATTAAATTATTTTGGGGGGGCCGGTGGGGAGGTGGAAGAATGGCATTTAGCCAAGATCCTAATAATGTAGACTTACTTCAGCCATTGAAATATTGATTGATTGCAACTTTGTTCTATATTTAGACTGATTAAAGAAAGAAGATATATAGTTTATTCCTATTTAAGGCTAATTTGGA